TGGAATCAGAATGCTGAAAGATAACATCAATCAACTTGACAAACCTTTTACTTGTACTAATCTTTTTTTCTCTCTCTCTATATATATATATATATATATATATATATATATATATATATATATATATATATATATATATTTGATGGACTCTCCGTCATTGACGACGTATGAGGGTCAAGCAACTCAGTTCCTAGGAACCGACAGCCCAGACACCAGAACATATTTGATTATAGTGATGAAGGTTTTGTGCAGAACCAACCAAACTTTTTGAAGAGCCGAATACAGAGACCTGATGCACCGTGTGCCGCAAGGTCCCCAAACGACCCTTCGCAGGTTTCGAATTCAGAGTTTTCGTCCTAGACCAGTTGCTATCCAAATCTATAGAACCCAGTTGTGCCCTGCTATTTACCCATAGCTGGAGAGAGAAGAAGATTAATACCTTTCCCAATGTTATTAAGTGAACGTAATGGATTCGACTGGAATTCGAACTCGGCTCTCCGATTCCTCAATCTGAGCCGCTATTCACCGTTCATCTTCTCTCTCTCTCTCTGTCTCTCTCTCTCTCTCTATATATATATATATATATATATATATGACTGAAAAACAGAAGGATTTCGTACTGGGTCTGCAACTAATTTCCATCTAAGCAATATCCCCCCCCAATACATATTGTCCATCCACTTTTAGTGTTAATTCTATTATAATTTATTAACCTCAATTTAGCTCTATTGAGCGAGGTTCGAAACCAGTTAGCTAGCCCGTTCTTACTTTTTAACTATGATTATCATGACTGGTAATAAAATACATTTTGTCTTTTTCTAGCATATCATATATATATATATATATATATATATATATATATATATATATATATATATATATATATATATATATATATATATATATATATATATATATATATATATATATAAAAGAAATATGTTGTAGTGGTTCCAACGAGAGAAAAGTATGTGTGTGTGTGTGTGTGTACTGATTACTTGTGGTGGGATAGTGTGTATGTGCGTATGTGTGTGTATGCGTGTATAGGTACAAATAAGTTTACGAATTCCTCGTAGTAAGACAGTATATGTATGGAGGGAATATACGCACGCATATATACACGCATGCTGACAGGATCACACCAAAATGGAAACAGATCCAAGAGCACATAGGGGTCACTAAAACATTAAAAGATAAAATGCCGATAACTACTCGCTGGACCAACCTTAATTGTTTTATGACCCTTCGCGCAGAACTCTTCATTGACAATTCTAAAAAGAAATTCGGATTACCAACACACAAACAGAGAATGTCTCATATCGAGAATATTTCACATTGAACATAAAGAAAAATTAATTATTTTTAATAATATGTAGAAATCTCCACTTTTACCTAAAGACGGTCGCGAGACCAGAAACACGTGTCGTAAAATTATGTAAAAACAAAGCATAATATTTTTTTCTAAATAAATCCACATTACAACCAAAAATGTTATCGGCACCTCTCTTCTCTTCTTTTTAATATATATATATATATATATATATATATATATATATATATATATATATATATATATATATATATATATATATATATATCATCTGCCCTCCTCTCTCTCTTTCACGCACCCATATATACGCATCTACACATATTTAAGAAAAAAAAAACTTAACACTATTTGGCTCTAGACTGTGGTAACAGCTCAAAGATTCCTTCGGCTAATAAAACCAAAATTATAACAGGATTATGTGAAAGTTGGGCATGATTCAGTTGCATTTTGAAAACAAAACCAGCCATGTGTTGATGAAATACTTGGGCCGTCGTTAACTGACAACGATAAAAAAACACACAACGACGGGGAACATTGCCTTGAATCGCATTGAAGTTTAACACTGGTGCTAATCAACTCACCTATCTATACTAAACTGTATTCCACAGAGTCTTGCAATGTTGTTGATAATATTATTGGCACAACAGCCTCGCCATTGTAGCATGTCGGCTGGTCTAACGAGTTCTGTTATCAGCGTTATTAGGCAGATATTTATGTTTCTTTGTGAAGGAGACTGCTATGGAACCAGCCTGTCTGGGTATTGTGCAAGCTACTGGTTGCTATAGAATTATGTGGGATGCGAACTGTTGGAGTTGGCAAGGACCAATAATGACCATTGGAGACTGTCTTATTGAAAACCATTTGTACATACTTTAATGCTCGAAGGTAATGTGTGGACGATATAAAAGTGGTTCCTGGAATTCTCAGTTGAGTGCCAAAGGCGACATTGATCTTTGCGCTCGATAGATTTAAACCCTGATAGGTCGCAGTTTTCAAAAAAGACACTTACACATAGAATCAGAAAATTCCTAGAACATTGTTATACCATAATACCTATTCTATTGTAATAGACTATCCCACAGATAATAAGTAGTAGTAGCAGTAGCCAGTTGGGCTCAGTGGTGTTGAGTGAGTCTGTCGGACATTGAAGTATCAACCATCACTACTAGATTGCTGCGTCATTATCTCTTATTTCAAGTTCCTAACGTTTTGTACCTCGAACTAATTTAGGACGACTTATTTGAAATACATGCCTCCACTGTGAAAACTACTCTACAAAAAACACATAATGAGAAAAGAAGGCTTAGAAAAATTAGGTTCACAGAACATATTGAAGGCAGGAAGGACAGAAGATAACGAGTTATCTTCCTAACAACCTGGAATTTGTGGAGAGTTATGAACGCTTACCTACTGTTATTCAGGTGAAGGAAATTACTTTCTGTAATTCTGGCCATTTATATATCTATATATGTATGTGAGTGACTGTGTGTGTGCATATAGCAGGTACTTTCGCTATATCAGTGAATATGGCTCTCCACAGCCTCTTGTCTTTTGTTGCAATATGTTTTCCTTTACGACGCTTCTTTGTGAGACTTGCTTAAACGCCACAAATGTTTTTGCTGCTTTCTTCCTATTTTTTCTTTGGTGAGTGTTAAATTCTCCAAACCTTCTTTCCTCATGATGCATCCCCTAAACTTTTAGTTTTATCTTTCTGATTGCTAGCAATATATATATATATATATATATATATATATATATATATATATATATATATATATATATAATAAAAAAAGGCTTAAACACTAATATTCCATGGTCATAATTTATTCCATTGGAATCGTAAATACGATCCAATTCATCAGACCTACAAATTCAAAATGAAAACAGATAAAACCACTCCGGAAGTGAAAACAGAATTTAGAGAGTGTAAATATGAGGAGGGGGAAGATTGAACCTTAACAGAGAATTTTAGGAGAGGTGGTGGGGAGGTTTTAGATAAGAGAAGAGAATGAATGTCGACGGATGTCTAATGCATAAAGATACATTTCGTGGTGACATACACACACCATCGACAATTTAATGCTAGAATAATAGGGAGGGGAAGGGAAAGAAGAGGTAGGGAGAGAGAGGGACGAAGGAAAGTAAAATTGCGTTTACTTAAAGGGACGCTTTGTAATTGAGAAAATTTGACAAATTTAATATCGACTACAGGTTACAAATCAAATATAAATATATGAAGATAAATATAACGATTGTCTAATCCAGCAAGGACCTATATTTCTATGTTCAAAGAAACATGTGAATACACACAATAACATATACATGTATATACATCCACATAGGCGTGTACCCACACACACACATACATACGTGTATACACATATAAAAATATAAAAATATAAAAAAATAAAAAATATATAATCACATATCCACACATACACATATTCATCAATATCCATATACACACACTTTTCACATACACGTACACCCACATACACATACATATACACATACATACATCTATATATATATACATATATATATATACATACATACTAATACATACACACACATACACACATATATATATATATATACACATACATACACATATACACACGCATACATGTATACATATGCATACATACACACACTTATATATATACACTTACATACATAAACACCTCCATACGTACATATATACACACTTACATACATACACATACACACATATACACATATATCCACATATACACATACATACATATACATTCATATATACACATACATACATATACATACATATATATACATACATATATATACACATACATACACATACAAATAAATACACACATAGATACATATATATAAAGTTAAAATCTAAATAAGTAACGATTCAAATATTTGCGCGTGTAAAAAAAAGTAATATATATATATATATATATATATATATATATATATAAATACATAGCGCATCACATAAACGTTCACAATGATACATTTAGAGATAAACATAATAAATATAATAGTCATTCCATTAAAATGTCATGTCCAATGTTAATGGACTAAGATGGAGCTGACATAAGTGACAATATGTTACTAAACGATGTTCATGTTTTGAAACGTTTCTTATGTCTACATTTAGAGAATATCTCATTCCGAAGATTCAGCAGCTCATCTCGATTCTTATCTTTGATAATGAAGATTTTTTCCGCCATGCATAGATCACACCGATCGCGGAAATTATTAGGTGTTCTGGCTCTAGATTTGTATCTCCATTTTAAAATTGGGTTTAATCCCTTATCCACCAGTTCCCAGTAGTGTTTGGATAAGGAAGTCTGTCTACTGAGGCATCTATATCTAAATGAGCGTCTATGGTTGTATAGACGCTGCTTCCAATCACCGGCGGATATACCTATGTATCTTTTTTTCTCGTTTATATTTTCCTCGGGAAAGATAGTTGCCTCGTATATTACATTTTCATACTTGCATTTATTTATTTATATATATATATATTAGTTCCTGTTCTCTGTCTAATTCCCTCCTTCCGCCCAGTCTGGTATTTTCAACATTCGTTGGCGGGGCGGGGGTCACATCTGTGTCATTTCAAACCTTCACTTAATCTCTGATGAAGTTGTCTTGCCATCACTAGAGATCAAATAGCTTATGGCGATATTAGGTTAAAAGCCGGTTCTCGTTCGATCACCGAAGTTAAGCAACGTTGAGCCTGGTCAGTACCTAGATGGGTGACAGATTGGGAATGGGCGAAGCTGTGAATTCGTACCTTTCCCAAGGTTATTGGCGCTTAAGTAAATATAACGAATCCAATTTCAACCCAGCTGTCCGATTTCTAAATCCATTGCAACATGCAACTTTACTGCACCTGGTATTCTTACGTGGCCAGGCATTTAGTTATTGACCAGGCTCGGTGCTTCAATGTCATATGGCCGTAAGTCTGTATATTCGAGAAATCTTCTTAAAAAGAAAATATGCACATTCCGGCAGGATATGATCATGGGTCCCCCACAGCAGGATAAACCGTCGTTAGATTCGATGTGTTTAGACCGACGAAGGATATTTTTCAATCAAGCAACGCTAAGTAGTGCCTTTAAGTGAAATTCTTGTTATAGACTCTCGAAATAATCTATTTACTCAGTTTCGTATCCAAACGTAAACAAAACAATTATTAAAGAACTAACGTGACAACATCTTTCGTATTAATAAATAAAAATCCATTATTTCTTTAGATATATATATATTAAGTTATTCATCGTGTCTAGAAGAATTCTCAACGGAATTCAAAAAAACACTGAACAACCATTTCGTCCGATTTTGCAATTTATCAGCAGTGAGTATCCACCACCGAGATTCGAACCCGATACAACGATGATGATGAGGTAACTAATTAGACACGATATAGCATCACTCTTCACAAATATCGTAACAGTCTGGGTTCGAGTCTCTGCTAATGAGTCCCAAAAATAGGACGAAACTGCCGTCCAGTGCTTTCTGCATTCTGTTTAGGATTCTTCAAGATTCGATAAATTATATAATTATGATTATTCACCCCCCACCAATAATTTCTATATATATATATAAATATATACACATACACACATAGACATACAGCGTGTTCGTATTACAGAGAGAGAGAGAGAGAAAGAGAGAGAGATAGAAAGAGAGATAAATGAACTGCCAGTAACATTAATATGGCAATGGGTTTTAAAAATGAACTGTCTATTCGTCGTTACGAATTAAGATATGCCTAATAGAATTATGCTATGTGTGTATGAGTCTGTGTACGTGTTTGTGTGTGCGCGCACACACACACACACACACACACAGACGCACACACACACACACACAGACGCACACACACACACACATATATATATATTGTATATAAAAATGATATTGTTTTATATATATGCATATATATATATATTATATATATATATATATATATATATATATATCAAACATATATATATATATATATATATATATATATATATATATATATATATATATATATATATATATATATATATATAATGTTATTATCTTAATCCATAAATAAATAGTTCAATAATTTCGACAAAGATAAGCACATTGACTTTGTTTTAACGAAATCTAACGATCTTAAAATAATGAAAAATTGAAGACTCACCCCCACCGACTGACACAAAACGCGATAATCTCCGCTTTTCGTTTTTTTCCCCCGTTAAGTCGCAGTGTCTGCTGATTTGAGATAAAAACGACCTTGAAGAAGTGGAACGTTCACTTGATTCAAAACGTCTCGGACAACACACAGACACAAAGTCCATGTACCTTTTGTGATTATTCAAGTTACATTATGCTTACATAGGAGGCCTACGGCCGCATCATGTTGAAAAAAAAAACGTACGATCACCAAAGTTAAGCGACGCTGACTCTAGTCAATATCTAGTTGAGTAACCGCTTCGGAATACCAGGTACTACAGCCTTGAATTTGCCGGTAATGTAATGGATAATGCCTCGGAGTTGTTAATCGGAGAGTCGAGTTCCAATTCCGGCTGGATTCGTAGCATTCACTTACGCACAAATACGCTTGGGGAAGGTATAAATCCACTTCTTCTCCCCTACTACGGGTTAATTAGTAAGACTTGTATCACTAGAACCATTATTATCTAAGAAGAAAATTGCATTTAGATTTTGGCATTAAATAACCCACAAAGGTGTTGACATGCCGCTAAGCAAAAATCATCTAGCTTAACCCATTAACCGCCAAATTTTTTTTAATGCGCATTTTTGGCCCAGACAGGTGTCTTAGAAGTTTATTTATTCCTTATGTTTAATTTCAGTAGTTACCATTGTCGTTTTTATAGAAACTAGAACATCAAATATATATGTGTATAAAACATCAAAAAATAATATTGATTAGAAATAATAAAAAAATACTTTTCAAAATAGTCATTATTTTTCTACTCGTGAAATGTAAAATTACGACAGAAATTGTCTTACGGCTAATGATAAATACTTTAAAGGCTAAGTGTTGTAAAATATACCTCTGCAAATGCAATGTATGTAAGCAATTCAATATAAATACAAGGAATAACGAGTTTAATTTTAACAGATCCCCAAATGGGGCTCATGGTAGGTAATGGGTTAATGGGAGAATTTGGTTCATTGCAGAAAAAAAAATTAAAAATAAATTGAAATAAAATAAAATCTGTGCATATTTCAGAAATTACCGTATTTGACGGCATATAAGACGTACGGGTGTATAAGATGCAACCCAATTTCAGCAGATATGATGTAGGGGAATTTTAAAAGATATTTTTAGTAAAAAACAAAAAAAAAACAGTGCGCCTTATATGCCGACAAATATGGTAGTTATGATTTCAAAATTTCCATAACTGGAAATAAAACTACAATGTTATATTTTCCAGCAATTATTAGTGGTTTTTTTAAAATATCTTATCATAAATTTAAAAGTTGGGGAAGCATTTGCTAGCCTAAAACACAGTAATATGTTTTTTGAGCGCAGCTTAGATTAGGTACAGGGCCGAAAATATGAGGAACCCAGTGAGAATCGATCTCACTAAATAATCGTAATTGATCTGGCGAGACAAGATTACTAACCATTACCCCACGTCGACGTGCTAAAATAAATTTCTAAGCGTAGCTGTGGCACAGTACTGAAAGTATAGAGTAACAAGTGAGGATCGAACTCACTAATCAGTCGTAATTGACCTGGCAAGCCGAGCTTGCTAACCATTAGACCACGTGAAAGTACCCAAATGAACTTTAAGCATAACTTAGATATGTCGAAAGTATGGAGCACTCACTGTGTATCGAATCCACTACTCAGTCGTAACTGATCTAGCGAAACAAGCTTGTTAACCATTACATTGTTATAGTCACCATATTATGATTATGATTTATTTTTTATTATTTTTTTATTAGGTTTGATTAGTTCATCTTATTTTTCCTGTTTTGTAGTAGTACCAGTAATAAATGGTGTTTCGTTAAGAAGGATCAAAATCAGCAGTAAATAAACCAGTGTTATTAGTGAAAATTTATTTCTCTATTGGATCATATTCAAGTCATTGCAATTATGTGTGAAAAATAATATCGCCCAAATGTCCGCCAAGGCTTCGGTGGCACACCTCCACTCGATGGTTAAAATTCTTGATGATGTCTCTGCATAGATGCTCTTCGATCTCACCAATATGCCTTATTATTTCCTCCTTCAGCTGTTGAATTGTTGTTGGCTTGTTGACATAGACCTTACTTTTGAAATGACCACAAACGAAGAAATCTAAAGTCGTCAAATCTCACGATCGTGGTGGCCAATTGACTTCGCTGTTTCGAGAGATGATGCGACTTGGGAACTTCTCATTCAAATTCTGTTTGAATGTCTATTTTCGTAATAGGCTTCGATAACTTTAATAGGTTGCTTGATTGTTAATTTTTCCATGGTTGAAATTGCTAAAGAGTTAAGTTGTTCAATCCTAAAAAAAAAAAAATATTTAGATGCTTAAACTTAATTTACATTTAAAATCGGTCCAAGTTATTGGATCACTTGATTAGATATCATAGTCTTCAATAAATCGTGCCAAATCCTATTGACTAGTTGACACGTGAAAAAATTCAAGCATATATTTTTATATCTAGGAAAATATATATATTTTTAATTTCGTGTTTGTGCTAACAATATGTTTTCTCGATTCTCCTGGTATCGAATATGTCACATTTTCCATATATATGCTTTGTCTAATTACTTACTAGCACAAAAACCAAGTTACTAATAATGATTTACTAAACGTAGCTTCAATGAGCAACAAGTCCGAAATAACGGAACACCCATTCAGTAACGCCCCTGAAATTTCTGGCGCCCCCCCCTGCATACTGAACTTCGGCGCACTTGTATAAGTTTTTATAATTTTCATAAGAAGAAAAACTGAAAATGTAGAATAAGTTTATTTTAATATACAAGCAAAAGAAACCATTCATTATCCTACCTAAAACATTTATTTTTAGCCTTTAGCTCAGTGATTCTCAAACATTTTTCTCCATGGACCATTTTCCTCCATGGACTATTTTCCCCCATGGACCATTTTTCCCCATGGACCATTTTCCCCCATGGACCATTTTTACTCTTTATTTGTTTGTGTGGACCACCATAACCATTCGATGAAATAAAGATTATTTTATTTTTTCTAATAGATAAGTTTAGGAATTGTTTTTTAGAAATAGTAAATGCATATGCCCTATTTACATTATTCGGACTATTGTCCTCATCTTTGTCGCCATATGGCACAGTGGATAAAGGCGTTGGTTAGATCCAGTGACAGGACCCAAAGACTTTAATACCCGGTTAAGGCAGTGGAGAACTTGAAGAGGGGAATTAACAGGAGATATCTGATAACTGACATCCATGGCACGTGGAACTAGAACAGTCTACCCCAGTGAGCGAAATAAAGGCTTCAGTTCGACATTCCAACCACCTGAAGAAGGCCGGACCGTACAACGGTCAAAACGTTTTAATAAATATGGCGACAAAGATGAGGGCAATAGTCCGAATAATGTAAATAGTGTACATAATACCTCATCTCAGAAATCTATACAGATACTAAATATATAGGCTTTATTTTGAAGTAAAACTAATTTAATGAAAATAAACTTGTATTTAACAACTAAATGGAACATTTATAGACACTAGTAAAATAACTGATAATAAACCATTTTAAATTAAATTGCAGATTTATACAATGAGATCCTGCTGCTC